AGACATGATCGCGTCGTTTTAAAAAATAAAACAGAAAGGATCGCGTCGGGGGAAGAAGTTGCCCCGAACCCGCATTTCCAGCCTTCGGCCCCAGGACGCCCCCAGGCTGCCTCAAGAAGCTCCCCAGCACGCCCCAAGAAACCCCCAGGGAGCCTGAAAAGAGCCCCCAAGAACCAGGAATCGGACAAGCCTCGTGGAATGCAGTCCTGGACGCGCAGAAGTTTGTAGAGGGGTCGGCGGATGTGGCGTAAGCCTATATAATCCACGTCCGGAAGTGACGTGTTGCCGGAGGCAGGTCACGAGCGGAAGCCCTAATGCAATGGATCCCATGAGTCCAATGCTTGCATAAGTGCCACGTATTGTATTGTGTTACCTTATTATGTCTCCCCCCCTAACCCCCCCCCGGAGTCGCGCCACATCCGTCGACCCAAAGGTGGAGGGCCCCTTGCGCGCCTCAAACCCAACAAAAACCAATGGAAAATCAATGATTTCGGCTCCTTGGGCCTCTTGGGGCCCCAAGAAGGTTTCAAGACGGCCCAAGATGGCCCCAAAACAGCCCAAGCCGGCCTCAATACGACCCAAGATGGCCCCAAGAGGGCCCATGAGGCCCCAAAAAAATCCAAGAGGCCCCCAAGAAGACTCCCGAGAGCGCCTCCGGAGGCCACAATCTTTGATTTTCCTATAGGTTTGGGACAAATTCAACGTTCTCGCCTTTTTCGGCTCTCAGAAGGCCATGACGGCCCAAGCAGCCTCCAAGAAGGCCCCCAAACAGCCCAAGAGGCCTCCAAGGGGGCCCCAAGACGGCCCAAGAGGGCCCCGAGACGGCCAAAAAAGCCTCCAAGGCAGCCCAAGAAGCCCCCAAGACGGCCCCAGAAGACCCCAAGAGAGCCCCAAGGCGGCCGCGAGAGGCTTCCAAAGTGGCCTCCGAAGTGGCAAGACGGCGTAAGAGCGCCCAAAGACGGCTCCAAGACGTCCCCAAGAGGCCCCCAGAGGCTCCAAAGAAGACCCCAAACGGCCCAGGAGGGCCCCAAGACGGCTCAAAGAGGCCCCCAAGGCGGTCCAAAGAAACCCTCAGGTCGGCCCAAGAGACCCCAAGAGAACCCCAAGGCGGCCGCGAGAGGCCCCCAAGACGGCCTCCGAAGGGGCGGAACGGCGCAAAAACGCCCCCAGACGGCCCATGATGCCCCCAAGAGGCCCCGAGAGGCTCCCCAGAGGCCCCCAATGAACTCCCCCAAAAAACCTAGAGGCCTCCAAGAAATCCCCAAGAAGCCTCCAAGAGGCCTCAAAGAAGCCCCCACAAGGCCACACAACGACTGGAGCGTAATGTGATTTCCCCCCCTGGGCGAACGACGGCGCAGCGCCAGCCAGGTGGAAGTTGGTCACGGCGGCGCGCATGATTAGAGCCGGCGCTGGAAGGCAGGATGGGGATGGAGTATGAAAAGGAGGGGGGGGAGAGGCCCCAAAGAAGCCCCCAAGAGGCCCAAAGAAGCTCCCAAGAGGCCTCCAGGAAGCCCCCAGGAGGCTCCCAAGAGGCCCCGCGACGACGTGACTGTACGTGCTCCGGACGTGCACCCCGCGAAGCGAGAGGAATCAGGACGGGAAGCTTTTGGCCAATTTCGGCCTCGAGGGCCCTCGCCGGGCTTCGGGACCGGCAAAAAAGGACCCAGGCTTAAAAACCGGTCCTGGGAAAAGGGTCAGGACTTTCAGGGACCCCACATCGAAAAACTCAGGGCGTCGCATGTCTGGGCTCCGACGGCCACGACGACCTTGGCCGCGACGCCCGACGAATGCCTGACGAGCGCCCGGCCGCGACCACGACCGCGACGACGGCACCGACGACCACGACGACGGCCACGAGACTGGAACCCGCGGGCGGGACATACGCCCGTCCGTCACCTCTGTCTGCTCCCGCTACTGTCCCTGCAGCTCCTCTTCCTCCTGCTCCTGCTCCTCCTCGCGCTGCTCCTCCCTTCCCTCCTCCTCCTCCTCCTCCTCCTCCTCCTCCTCCTCCTCCTGGGCACTTCCCTCAGTGGAAACGATTCCTTCCAGTAGCATATGAAGAGAGAGAGCTTGGAAGTTGGAGGGGAGGTTGATTGCAACATCTGTGATGAGACTGTTGTGTACGCTGCTCCTGCTCCTCCTCCTCTTCCTCCTCATCCTACTCCTCCTCCTCCGCCTCCGCCTCCTGCTCCTCCTCCCTCTCCCTCCTCCTCCTCCTCCTCCTCCTCCTCCTCCTCCCTCCTCAATTAACAAATGCCTCCGAGGTAGGGTCAGCATAGATGGGGTCGCAAGATCGCGGCGCATCGCCGATGCATCGGCGCCGTTGCCGATGCATCGGCCGCACCTTGAGCCGCATCGGCAACGTATCGGAGATGCGGCGCGATGCTCAGACCCTGTCTACTCCGACCCATCTGGGAGGCCTAGAACCCTCGTCCTCAACCTTGTTCTTGCTACCCCCAACTTCCCGTCCGCCACCCTCCTCCTCTCCCTCTGCTCCATTGAGGGTTCCGCCTTGGGGCACAAGGGACGGAGGGACGGAGGAAAAGCACCAGCGACGCCCTGCAGACTCTGGATGCTGCTGAGCCGCAGAGGAGGCCAGCGCACCACAGCACATCTGGGAAAAACAACTGCCACTGGAGCGGCGGTCAGCACAAAAAACGTCTGCCTACGGCGCTGGCGGCGCTAACCTCTTCTTCGATGACAACGGCCGAAACCGACGGCACAGCCACTGGACCAGACTCTGGTGGCTGGAGGGGCTGCACAGCCAAGCAAGTCTACCCCAAGGCTGGCTGGCGGTCAGTCTGGCCAGCCCGGAAGGCTCACTGGCTGACTGGCCGTCAGCCCCTGGCTGGCGGTCAGCTCAAAAGTGTCCTGCCGCTGATAATTCCGGAACGCAGACTGCTGTACAGTCCTTTCACCTGTGGATGCGGAAGTTTGCCCGTCAAGGGATAATAAGGAACGTCTTGTCAACTTGGGCGAACCACCCTCACCTGAAGGGTTCTTCAATTCCTTGATGCTCGCGTAGCCGAAGCCCTCATTTCTCGAGCCTGGAAAGAGTTGCTGCGCAAATTCTGCTGCGTCCAGCGCGCCGCTGCCATCCTTGTCCATGTTCTCGAAGAGAGCGATGATCCGATCCTCAGAAAGTCCAATCTTCATGTCGTTCACGAGCTCAATGAAATCGTCGAGCTCGAGAACTGCGCAATCTGAATAGTGTACGGCTCTAAACAGAGTGGGGATGTCATGCGCTGAGTAGCCCCACTGGTGCAACTTCTTCCGCGTCTTCGAGAGCAGCAAGGAATAGTCCCTCGAAGTCCACACCTGGTTGAACGTGTTTCCCATAATGCCTATCGGCACGGCCATCAGTATGACCCCCAGAACTATCAAGACCATAACGATTGTGATCCCCGCCGTAGTGGTGGGGGAATAATCCCCGTAACCAACTGTTGTGATAGTCACAAGGCAGAACCTACAGGAACAACCAACCACATGAACATAATGTTCAGGAATTCCACGCGAATGTCTTGGAAGCCACGACATCCGCGCGGACATCCGAACTTTTATGATCATGCAATGTTTCACCATTCGAGAACCAAACTGCCCGGAAAGGCGACTCGAACAGCTCTGGCTCTAGCAAGTAGATGAGAGAGGCGAACGTCATCGTGATCAGGGCGACGGTGTACAGGAGCATCGGGAGAGCCTCCATCGTGATCTCGATCGCCTGGATGAGCACCTTTCGGCACACCCGAAATGGGCACGGACAACTGGGCACCATGTCCAAAAGCAACTCTTGCCCAAAACCGGCAGCGGGCGCTGTTGAGCAAGCGATCTTCTGTCCCAAATGGACAACATCCGCGCAACCCCGACGACGAATCCGAATCAACAAAATATCAGAAACTGCTCTCCTCGTCTGCATTCTTTCAGTGCTCATTTCGATCGCATCGAACCTTGTATGACTCAAAGTCCCGTAAAATCTTCAATAAGCGGACGATGGGCACAAAGCCTAGCAATATGATCGAGAAAGCGTCATCCTGGCTTTCTGGGAGCACAAAGCCAGCCGCTGCCCGCACCACAATCGCGCTCGCAGCCGCGATGTCGATCCATGTGTGGAATATGAGAAGAAAATTCACCTTGTTCGGCGCACAGAACACTCGAACGCACAATTCCATCAAAAACACGACATCGAATGTCGTCTCGGCAACGACAGTTGACCACCCATGTAGCAGCGGATCTTCCACAGTCTGGAGGAATGTGACTAGCATGCTGAGTAGAACAATGGCTTCTAAGCACTTGGATATCCACCAAGCCTCTGTACTTGAGTCTGGATCGTCTAAGACCGTGTGGATGTAGTCGAGGGTGGAATTGCGAGTTCTTCTCATCGCCATGGGGAGCGATTGAAAACGTAGGTGGACGTTCTCGATGTTCTTGCTGCTGGACTTCTCGAGCATCCTCCGCACCAAGAACGATTTCTTCGACTTCTCCTGGACGTGGAGGCTCTCCTTCGTGGACGCATGCCGCAGCCCAGCAACTCGACTGGTGCCGGGATGTCGATGCACCTGCTGACGGGCCTGTTTTCCACCACCACCACCATAAGTTGGAGGGGGATGGGGTCCTCCTCCTCCTTCTCCTCCTACTCCTACTCCTCCTCCTTCTCCTCCTCCTCCTCCACCTTCTCCTCCTCCTCCACATCCTTCCCCCCTTTGACTTATGGTGGTGGTGGAAACAGGCCCATCACCTTCGGGCTCAAGTTAGGAATCATCGTGCCACCAGCTCGGGCCCTCCACGACCCCCTCCCGGAAGACGAGGAACCCGCAGTGAAACTCTTGCCGCTCGGGTGACTCGGCAGCGCGCTCCTTTCTGGGGAGACGCGAGACTCGGGTACTGGGGACTCGGGCTGGCCTGACGGGGCCATCGTGAACATGACCAGACCCAATCTGAAACTTGACGCGCACTCCCGCTGCAAACATCCAACGGAAACGGGACCGTCAACCTGAAGAAGTCTCCAGAGACCTCTGGAGGCGTCTGGAGGCCCCTCGAGGCTCTCGACGACGACGACGACGACGACGACGACGACGAGGACGAGGACCAGGACGGGAACGACGACGACGACGACGACGAGGACGACGACAGGACGCGCTCGTCAAACAGCGTCGGCAGGCCCGCGCTCCGGCGCACTCCGGCCTCTTGCTTCTCCGCTCGACCTCCCTCGCTCTGCCCCGACCCTGCATCGAGCGCGCTCCGCGGTCCTCCCCGATCTGTCTCGGGCCCTCGCTCGATCCTCCTCGCTCCTCTTTCCACAGTCGATCCTCAGACCCTCGCTCCTCCTCGAGTCTTACCTTTCTGTCGGGCCTGTCGCCCTACAGGGGGATCTTCGACGAAAAATGAAAAATACCCCCAACATACCCCCCAAAGGTCAACAACTATTCAAAAAAAAGGTCCCCAGACTATCTTTTTATTATTTTTTGATAACTTTGGGGTATTATTCCCAACCCAGTGCTGCCGCCCGCATGCGCCACGCACACCCAATTCGGCACACCCCTCACACGTTTCGTGGCCCCATAGGGAGCCCCACCGAAGGCCACAGTGCTGCCGCCCGCATGCTTCACGCACACCCAATTCGGTACACCCCTCACACGTTTCGTGGCCCCATAGGGAGCCTCACCGAAGGCCCCAGTGCTGCCGCCCGCATGCGTCACGCACACCCAATTCGGCACACCCCTCACACGCTTCGTGGCCCCATAGGGAGCCCCACCGAAGGCCCCAGTGCTGCCGCCCGCATGCGTCACGCACACCCAATTCGGCACACCCCTCACACGCTTCGTGGCCCCATAGGGAGCTCCACCGAAGGCCCCAGTGTGTGCACATGGCGCGTGGCCCCATAGGGAGCGTCCCGCATGCACACCCATTTCGGCACATCCCTCACAGGTTTCGTGGCCCCATCATCCACCCGAGGCCCCAGTGGCGGCGCTCACATGCGCACCCACACCCACCCAATTCGGCACACCCCTCACACGTTTCGTGGCCCCATAGGGAGCTCCACCGAAGGCCCCAGCGGCCGCGCTCACATGCGTCCCCGCCACCCATCCCGGCACGCCCCTCACAGAACAGGTTTCGTGGCCCCATAGGGAGCTCCACCGAAGGCTCCAGTGGCACCGCCCGCATGCGTCACAACCCGCACCCAATTCGGCACACCCCTCACACGCTTCGTGGCCCCATAAGGGAGCCCCACCGAAGGCCCCAGTGGCGGCGCTCACATGCGTCCCCGCCACACATCCCAGTACACCCCTCACGCGCTTCGTGGCCCCATAGGGAGCTCCACCGAAGGCCCCAGTAGCGGCGCTTACATAGGTCTCTGCCACCCATCCCGGCACCCCCCCCGCAGCAGCATCATGTTTCGGGGACCCATAGGGAGCTCCACTGGAGGCCCCACTGGCGGCCCTCACATGCGTTTCCGCCACCCATGTCGGCACGCCCCGCGCGTGTTTCATGTCCCCATAGGGAGCTTCGCCGAATGCCCCAGTGGCACCCATCTCGGCACACCCCTCACACGTTCCGTAGTCTTGTGGGGAGTTCCACTGAAGATGAAACCCGCAGCTGCGGTACTGACAACTGCATATGGTTGGGTTCTTCGCCAGGCTAATTTTATTTTTCGTCGAAAACCTCCCTGTAGGGGACAGGCCCGACTTAATCTTACCTCTCCCCGATCCCGAGAGGCATGACCGGACGACCGCACAGACACAAAACAACGTCGGAGGCCCGCGCAGGCCTCGGGGAGACAGCGGCCTCGGGAGCCTCTGGCGCAGCGCGTCGCGGCGGCGGCCCCAGCGACACGCTGCGCCTGGTGAGCGGACGGCGTGTCGCTCCCCCCTCCTCCTCCTCCTCCCCTCCTCCTCCCTCCTCCTCCTCCTCCTGATCCTCCTCCTCCTCCTCCTCCTCCCCTCCTCCTCCTCCTTCCTCCCTCCTCCTCCTCCGTCCTCTCCTCCTCCTCCTCCTCCCCCCCCTCCTCCTCCGCCTCCTCCTCCTCTTCCTCCTCCTCCGCCTCCTCTCCTCCTCCTCCTCTCCCCTCCCCCCCCCCCCCTCCTCCTCCTCCTCCTCCTCCTCCTCCTCCTCCTCCTCTCCTCCTCCTCCTCCTCCTCCTCCTCCTCCTCCTCCTCCTCCTCCTCCTCCTCCTCCTCCTCCTCCTCCTCCTCCTCCTCCCCCGTTGACGCGTGGAGGCGTGGTGGGCAGAAGCTGGCGGAGCGACACGCCAAGCTGAAGTCCAGGACCGCATGCTATATAAACTGAGGTCGGGCATGCCCCTCTAAAGGTACATTTGGGGTGACAAGATGAAATTCAGCAAAACACATGCTCCCATATTCTTCAACAACAATCAAACGATTATCCCCAGACTATGTTTGGACTATTCTTAAATGTTCCTCCTGTAGAGGCACATGCCCGACTCAACTGTGAGCATCGGTCGCATGTCGGAGGTCCGCGCTGATTTCTTGGGTCGGCGCTGGGGTCCCCTCCCTGCTGGCGCGCGAAGCGCGCCAAGGGGGTTCAGCGCAGATCCAAAGAGATCCGCGCGTCACGCGCAGTCGGTCCGTATCAGAAGTACAATCGGACTTGATTGGAGAAGACACGCGAGAGGACACCAGACCCTTCTGGGGGCCACGTTGCCACAGAAATGTAGGAGGCATGGGTCGCAAACACACAGGACACGACGGTACCATTGATCTGGCAAGGTCGACCTACTTGTCCGAAAGAGCGTGCTCTACCGCTGCTGGCGGAAAACCGGGGGGGGTCACTACCGGTTCGGACCCCTCCCCCCCCCCCCTCTGGAAAACCGGAGGGGGTCACTACCGGTTCGAGCCCCTCCCCCCCCCCCCCAGTTCGTCATGAAAAGGGGGGGGGTCACTACCGGTTCGAACCCCCCCCCCATCGAACTCGAAAACCGGGGGGGGTCACCACTACCGGTTCGAACACCCCCCCCCTCCCCCCTCCTCGAAAAGCGAGGGGTGGTGCGGACAGTGGTGGGGACGGTGGTGGTGGGGACAGTGGTGAGGGGGACAGTGGGACGGTGGTGGGGACGGTAGTGGTGGGGACGGTAGTGGTGAGGACAATGGTGGGAACAGTGGGGACAGTGGGACAGTGGTGGGGACGGTGGTGGTGGGGACAGTGGTATGGGGACAGCGGGAATGTGGTGGAAACAGTGGGACAGTGGAGGGTATAATGGTGGTGGGGACAGTGGTGAAGGCGGTGGCGAGGACGGCGGTGGGAAAATGGGACAGAGGTACAGTGGGGACAGCGGTGGGGACAGTGGGGACAGTGGTGGGAACAGTGGGACAGCTCAGTGGGACAGCGGAGGAGTCAGTGGGACAGTGGGGACAGTGGGGATAGTCGTGGAGAAAGTTGGGAGAGTGGAACCGTGGTGGGAACAGTGGTGGGGACAGTGGGGGACAGTGCGACAGTGGTGGTGGCACTGGTGGGGACAGTAGGGGCGGTGGTGAACCAGTGGGGACAGTGGTGGTGAGGACAGTGGCGCTGGGAACAACAGTGGGGGATGTGGTGAGGACGGTGGTAGGGACCGGGAGTCGTTTGCTGGCGGTGAGAGGGGGGGGTGGGGAGGGGTTCGAACCGGTAGTGATCCCGCCCTCCGGTTTTCGATGGGGGGGGGGGTCGAACCGGTAGTGACCCCCCCCACTCTTCGAGTTCGAGGGGGGGGGGTTAGGAGAGGGGGGGGGTTTTGCCGGGGAAGGGGAAGGGGGGGGGGAGGGGTTCCAGCAGGGGGGGGGATTTTCGGGGGGGGGGGGGGGGGGGGGGGGAGGGGGGGACCCCCGGGTTCCGGAGAAAAAGGGCGGCAATTTTCCACAGTAAAGCGGCGGTGGATCACGCTCTCTCACTTGTCCGGGCCGCCTGTAGGGATACGCGATAAGGGTGCAAGGGTTAAGTCGGGCCTGTCCCCCTACAGGGAGATTTTCAACGAATAATAAAACATACCCTCAAAAATAATCAAACAATACCCCAAAAATAGTTTGAGGATTTTTTGTTTGCATATTTGTTTGACCTTTTGGAGGTATTTTTGGGGTATGCTTCATTTTTCGTCGAAAATCCTCCTGTAGGGGGACACGCCCGACATAGTGCAAGGGCCTTGCGGGGCCACTTCGAAGCTTCTCGGGCGGCACCAGCCGCTCGCGCTCCGGCTGCTGCCTGCGCCGCCTGCGCTCCGCCCTGCCCCTTCCGCCCGCCAGGCCATGCGCTCCGCGCTCACGGGAGCCCCTGAACAGACATACCGCCCATATGGACTTCGGCGGCGAGCGAGGGGGGGGAAGCGGTCAGGGGCGGGCCTTCTCAGAGCGCTCGGAAGTTCCTCGGCCTCCTGAGAATTTCTTTCAGGGCCTTCCCCGAAGATGCAAGAGACTTCTCAGAAGCTTCTCGGGCGGCACCAGCCGCTCGCGCTCCGGCTGCTGCCTGCGCCGCCTGCGCTCCGCCCTGCCCCTTCCGCCCGCCAGGCCATGCGCTCCGCGCTCACGGGAGCCCCTGAACAGACATACCGCCCATATGGACTTCGGCGGCGAGCGAGGGGGGGGAAGCGGTCAGGGGCGGGCCTTCTCAGAGCGCTCGGAAGTTCCTCGGCCTCCTGAGAATTTCTTTCAGGGCCTTCCCCGAAGATGCAAGAGACTTCTCAGAAGGCGCGAGGGCTTCTGAGAAGCCCCGCCGCTTTCTGAGAAGGCCCTCTCCTTCTCACTTTCCCCCCTCGCTCGCCGCCGATGATTGGAGAGGAAACGCGAAAGGACACGAGACCCATCCGAGGGCCACATTGGTTCAGGAACGCAAAGGACAAGGGATGCATACGGGGCGCGAAGCGCAGGACACAGTGGTACTCCCCTTGATCTGGAAAAGATCGACCTGCCAATCAAGCCCAACCGTATTCGGGCGCATTCCTCCGATAGCCTGTGCTCATGCATCCGCTTTCGATGCCCCCCAGATTGGGTCCCGGTAGATAGGGTCGGAGGATCGCGCCGCATCGCCAATGCATCGGCGATGCATCGGCGACGTCTGCGCTGCATAGGCGACGTCGACGTGGAAAACGTCGGGCTCCACATCGTGCCCCAATCCCGTATACCCTGACCAAGCCCGGGAGGCCTGGACCCTTCTTTTGAGCAGGGACCGACCGTCGCTGCACTCCGATAGGCCTACCACGAATTCTTCTTAGAACCAAGCAGTTTTCTACTAACACCAACACGGTTCTTAGAACGTGAGCCAGGTGTGTCAAGACAAGACCGTCTCGGCCAGAGATGTTCTGCGAACAGCTCGTGCAGACCACGAACAATGGTTCTCAGAACCCTCCCTGGTGGGGCTCTATATAAGGGGAGCCAGGACGCTCCTCGCCATGGCTTGATGGACCCTTCTTCCCCCGCTCCTGTCGCTCTGCTGCGGCCGGCTCACGTAGCTCATGCCTCTGTCGATGTCCTTAGAGGCCTCCTGGATGGGTCGGAGCAAATGGAGTCGGAGGATCGCGCCGCATCGCCGCTACATCGGCGACCCATCGGCGATGCATCGGCGGCGATGCATCGGCAATGCACCGGCGATGCATTGCCGACGCGGGCGACGCATCGGCGACGTCGGCGAAAAGCACATCGGGCTCCGCATCGAGCCACATCGCCGATGCATGGCAAATACGGCGCCACTCTCCAACCCCATCTACTCCAAATCCCTTCTTAATCGTCCCCTGGGCCCGGCTTTTGAAGGCGCCTCTGTGGAACTGGGGGGGGGGGTCCGGTTTACTAGGGCACTTTTTCCTTGGATTGGAGCTCAAGGGGGTCCAATTCGTCAGGCGCCCCGGCGCAAAGGGGGGTCCGGCATATCAGGTCGCACTTGGAGGGGGGTTCGGCTTTTTAGGCGGGGGTCCATGGAATCAGGGATCTGGAGCACTTGGACCCCATCAGGGAGGCCCAGGGTCCTGCCGCTCCGAGGGCGGACTCCTGCCGCTCCCCCGGGCCGCGGCCTCCTCGGGGCGGGGGGACGGCGGCCCGCTGCGGCGGCCCACGGGGCTCCCGCCCCTGCCTCGCTGGGCGGCGCTCGGGGAGGGTGGCCCGCTCTGGCGGCTGAAGTAGCTCACCCCTGCGCCTGGAAGGAGAAGGGGACGGCATACACATTGAACAAACATGCCTATATATACACACATACACACATCGGAGGTCGGGGGGGTTGCGATCGCAGCTGAACGGAGACCCCCCACCAGCAAGTCGTTTCGTTGCGTTCGCGTGCGAGGAATGGAAATCATTCTCCCCCGTCCGTCCGTCCGTCCGGCGGTGGCCCTAGCGGTGTCCCGCAGTGTCCCGTGGCGTCCTGTGGTGTCCCGTGGTGTCCGCCGTTGCTAGGGCGCAGTCAAGACCGTCCGTCCAGCGGTGGCTCGCGGCGTCCCGCGGTGTCCCGTGGTGTCCCGTTGAGTGAGATCGATAGTGAGATCGATAGTGAGATCGATAAGAGATCGATGTGGTGCCCCGAGGTGTCCCGTGGTGTCCCCAAAAATGAAATCGATATTGAGATCGATAATGAAATCGACAGGTGTTCCGTGGTGTCCCGTGGTGTCCTGTTGCATGAGATCGATAGTGAGATCGATGTGGTGCCCCGAAGTGTTCCGTGGTGTCCCAAAAAGTGAAACCGATAATGAGATCGATAGTGAAATCGACAGGTGTCCCGTGGTGTCCCGTTGAGTGAGATCGATGGTGAGATCAATAGTGAGATCGATGTGGTGCCCCGAGGTGTCCCGTGGTGCCCCGTTGAGTGAGATCGATAGTGGGACCGATAGTAAGATCGAGAGGTGTCCCGTGGTGTCCCGTGGTGTCCCGTTGAGTGAGATCGATAGGGAGATCGGTTGAGTCAGATGTTGGTTCCTCCCCTCTCCGCCCCCACAACCTCCTTATCACCCGAAGCGTAGTCGTATAGGTATCTCTTTCTATATATATATATAAACACAAGGCTGCATTGGCGAGCTTCGCGCCGTGCACTTGTTCATTGAAGCTTTGGAGCGGTTGGCCTGTCGCGCCTTCCTCTTTTCCCTTTGAGGCGTGCTCGCTCGCTCGTATCACGGAGAAGCGGGGGAAAGGGAGAAGGGGGCAGCCAACTTGGGACGCGCAAAAACTGTGAGTCGGAGACCACGGGCGTCTTCCTAAAGAGTGAGGGTGTTGATTTGGCTCGTGTTGGGGCCGTCAAGGCGCCGCGCATGGGCAATTTGGGGGCCGTCCCGGGCCCTCGTGGGGCCGCTTTGGGAATTCAGGAAGCGCGCTTGGGTTTATTTGGAGCGGTGTTCGGAACTTAGACAATGTTTTCGGACGCCCGGCAGGCCGAAGGAACGAATGGTAGTAAATCTTACAACATCATTGAAACATCAATGCTTTTCGGGTTCGAGCGCGTCTTGGAGGCCTTTTTAGGGTCGCCTCAAGGCATCCGACGAGGGTCAAGGCCAACTTCGATGACATCTTGGACCGTCTTGGGCGTGTCTTGGGCCTTCGGCCGGCCGCCTTATGGTCAGTTTGGGGCGGTCATGGAGACGCTTGCGGGCAGTCTAGGAGCCGTCTTGGGCCCCGTACGCCTTTCTGGAGTCGGGAAAGGTTTTCGGTGCCTCGCCTACGTTATCGGACACCTGGTAAACCGCATGAGGACATAGTCGAAAGCATACAAAAACACTAGAACAATCAAGATTTTCAGAGTTTCGAGCGCCTCTTGGAGGTGACATTCGAAGCGCCTTCGAGCATCAAGCAAGGGCCTGTACCGCATGATGCCTTCTTGGACCGTTTGTGGCGTCTATAAGGCCTTGCGCAAGCCGTCGTGGGGTCAATTTTGGGCGGTCATGGGGACTCTTGTGGGCAGTTTGGGAACCGTTTCGGGCGCTCACGGGGCTCATTTGGGCGGTCTAGGAGCGGTTGTCAGTGCGTTGTCAACGTTATCGGACGCGTGGGAGGCCGAATTAGCGAGTACCCGAAAATCATAAAAAATAATGAAGCATCTATGGTTCTGGAGTCCGAGCGTTTCTTTGGGGTGACATTGGGGTGACCTTCGGGCATCCGGCGGGGTTCAAGGCTAGCTGGATGCCATCCTGGACCGTCTTGGGTGGCTGTTGGGCCTTTCGCCGATCGATTTGGGACTGCCACCCGCCTGCATGCACGCCTTGGCAAGGATTTTCGGCCTCCCCCCGTGCCACAGATCCAGGGGGTCCCGTTTCGGGAGAGGGTTTTCGCCCCCCCCCCCCCGGTTACAAAAATATAGAAAAAGGAATCTACACATGCCCGATTCCGGAAACCCTGAACCCAAAAACATGTTCATCTCTCTTGGGGGCGCATCTTTTACTCCCGTCGCCTTCACCAGCCTTCCGCCGGCGGAGTTTCCGCCGCCCTTCCGCCGCCCTTCCGCCGAGGAACAGATGTCCTTTTAAGGAGCGCCTCATATATAAGCTTCCGGAGGTCTGCGCGAACTTCTCGGGTCGATCGGCACTGGAACCCTCTGGCGCCGACCCTGACGCGCTCCGCGCGCCAAGCAGAGTTAGGTGAGTCTTTTTGGAAGCTCATTCTAACATAATTGAATCACTTTAAATTCGCCTTCCGTGTGTTGCTAACGGCCTTTAGTTTCCTTCAGTCGCCTCTTAGCAGCCGTTAGTGGCCTTCCGCAGCCTTTAGCGGCTAGTGGCTTTCAGCGACCTTTCGTAGCCTCTACAACAGTGCAAAGGCGTGCATTGTGCATGTTGAAATGAATGGTTAAAAAGACCCCTGGGCGTCGCTCATTGGGGGGGGCGGTAAGTGTCGGGGACGGAAGGTGCACTCCACAGGCCCTGAAGGCCTCCTTGTGGACCCGAAAGATTTTCCGTAGGGGCTCTGAAAGGGCCCCGTTTGTGCAGCCCTCGCTGCCCCCCCATCCATCGCCCCCCCATTGCGTGCCGCCCAAGACCCATGACTCCCCTCAATAGAGGGATCCAGGAAATCCGCGCGGAGCTTCGACACACTGAAATGCTCGCAGGCCTAGAGCTAGGTCGAGCATGTCATCCTGCAGGCGGGTTTTGGACGGTATACATATATATAAAAGAATAATCAACAACATACGTAAACACTTGCCGACCATAATCTTTAAACAACTAGTCCCCGGACCTATTTTTTGACGATTTGGGAATGTTCCTCCCGTGGAGGGACGTGCCCGACTTAGGCCTGGAGCCTCGACGCCCCAAAGACGCTGTGCGCAGCGGCGAACCGCGGGGTTCACCCGAGGGGGGCCTAAATAGGATCCCCCCGGGGCCCCCGGCCTGGCCCACATCGGAGCGCTGTGGCACGCACGAGGGCATGCTGGTGCTATATATATATATATATATATATACAAATATATATATATATACACACACACACTAGAACCATCGCGCGCGCTTCGCGCGCGCTCAGGTTCTAACCCAGGCCGGGGGGGGTCGCTGAACGATCTTGGACAACGCTATCAAGCACAGGCGCGCGACGGCATCTGAGGAGCTTCTGGGGTGTTCCGCATGCTTCGTCAACTGGCTGTTGGAGGCGCCTCTTGGGGGGGCGTCTGAGGGTCCATCGGGGGCATCGGTTCTGCAATCTGAAGCCGTCATTGGCTGTCTTGGCTGCGTGGAGGCCCGACTTGAGGCCACCTGCGGCCAGATTGAGGCAATCCAGAAGCCTCCCGGGGGCCTCCTGGAAGCAGTTTTGACGCATCGAGGGCACTCTTGGGCTATTTTAAAACCTTTTGGACGTCTCCTAGGAGCCTTTTGGGCCATCGGGAAGCTTTTGGGGTCTTCGTCGGACCACTTGGGGGCCTCTTGCGGCCTCCTGTGGGCCTTTTGGGGGGAACCCTCTGCTGTTGGGTCGCGTCCCCCTTCTTGGGCCTCTCTTGGGGCTCTTGGGGCCCTCTCGGGCCGTCTTGGGCGCCTCAAGCACCGTCTTGGGGCCCTCGCGGGCCGTCTTGGGGCCTCTTGGAGGCCTCTTCCTCTATATTGGAGCGGTATTGGAAGCCTCTTGGGCCGTCTTGGAGCATCGGGATGCCAAAAGGCATAAACAAATTAAACCCTTCAAAACCCAATCGTAAAACAATGAGTTTTGCCGCTTTTGGCCACCCTGGGAGATCTCTTAGAACCTCGTCGGCCCTCTTGGGAGCTTCTTGGGGGCCTCTTGGATCCGATTGTGGCCCCAGAACCTCTCGGGGTAGAAAGCTCGGATTCTCGGTTCGTGTTTCCCTTCTTGGGCCTCTCTTGGGGCCGTCTTGGAGCCCTCTCGGGCCGTCTTGGGCGCCTCAGGCACCGCCTTGGGGCCCTCGTGGGCCGCCCAGGGCTCTCTTGGAAGCCTCTTCGGCTATCTTGGAGCTGTCCTGGAAGCCTCTTCCTCCTCCTCGTGCCCCTCCTACTCCTCCCACTCCAGCTCTCTCTACTCCTGATCTTCCTCCTCCTCCTCCTGCAGCGTGTTCCTGAAGGCTCCCGCTGGAACATGCTGTGCACAAGTGCTGTCACTGCTCCCGCCACCGTGCCCTGGGTGGTGGGTCAGAGGCCTCATGGGTGTTGGTTTGGATATCGTGGTTGGCCCGTCGGGGACGTCGTGAAAGCAGTTTCGCAGCTTCTCGGTAGCCGTTTTGGGACCGTGGTGGGGCCTCCTCGGGGCTGTTTTGTAGCCTCTTTAGGCTTCGTTTGGGCCTCCTGGGTGCCGCTTGGGGGCCTCCTGGGGCCTCTTAGGAGGCTCCTTGGGGCCTCCTGAGGCACTCTTCAAGCGGGAGGGTCGAATTTTGGAGTCGTGGTCCCCCTCTTGGGCGCATCGTGGGGCCGTCTTGGGGCTCTGTTGGGCTGTCTTGGGCGACTCCGGGGCCGTCTTGGGGCCCTCTTTGGTCGTCTTGGGGCGCTCTTGGAGGCCCATTGAGCCGTCTTGGAACGTCGGACAGCCGAAAAGGCTGGAAGGCCAAAATCGTTCGAAAACCTTTGCAAATTGACGATTTCGGCCTCTTGAAGCGCTCTGGAGAGGCGTCTTGAAGCGTTGTGGAGTGCCTTTGGGGGCCACTCGGGCCGTCTTGGGCCTATCTGGGGCGTCCTGGAGCGGTCTTTCGGCGACTCGGGGCCCGCTTGGGCCGTCTTGGGAGCCTCTGGAAGCCCTCCTGGACTATTTTGGACCTCCCCGGGCGCCCCGTCCTCCCATGGTGGGTCGGAGGCGGCGGCCTCCGAGGCCCAGGACGCGGAAACCCTGCAAAAACAGAAGGAAAATGAGCCCCGGTATCCCCATGGAGGGTCGAGGCAGCTGTTTTCGGGCCCCGGGCCTGCTCCCCCGGGATATATATATATATATATATATATATATATATATATATATATATATATATAGACGGCGACGGGGCCGGACGACAGTGGCTCTCGGACACGCGAGACCGAACGCTGGAAGGAGAGGCGGCAACGTGCTCCGGCAGCGCGTTTCCGGAGCATGTTTGGGGGACCTGGGTAGCCTCTCGGAGGCCGTTTTGGAGCCTCTGGAGGCCTCTTCTGGGCCTCTTGGGGGCCCCTTGGTAGCCTTCTGGGCTGTCTTCGGGGACTCTGAGGGCTTCCTGGGAGCATCTTGGGGCGGAGAGCTCGACTGTTCGGTGCGTCTTCCCTCTCTTGGGCCGCTGTTGGCGCTTTCTTGCAGCTCTCTTGGGCTGTCTTGGGCGGGCCTGGGGACAGTCTTAAGCTCTCTTGGGCCGTCTTCGGCCTCTCTTGGGGGTGTCTTGGCCTGTCTGGGAGCAGTCTGGGGAGTCCTGGGCCGGTCTGGGAGCGTCGGAAAGCCGAAAAGGCTTGGAAGCCAACAACATACGAAAAAAATGGAAATCAACGATTTCGGCGTGTTATATATATATATATACACACATATATATATATATGTCCTCCTACTGGGTTTAGCGGGACCTGCAGGGAGGAGGGAGGGCGGGAGGGAGGGAGGGAGGGAGGGAGGAGGAGGAGGATGAGGAGCAGGAGGAGCAGGAGGAGCAGGAGGAGGAGGAGGAGGAGGAGGACGAGGAGGAGGAGGAGGAGGAGGAGGAGGAGCCCTCTTGGAGCCTTCACGGGCCGCCTTGGACGCTCCAGCGGTTTAGTGGGACCTGGTTTAGTGATGTGTACTGGGGGACGCCCCCCCCCCGCCCCGTTCCACTAACTGGAACCGCCGCCACCCGAAAAGCACCAGCTACGGCAGACCTGGTGCAATGACTCTAGCCAGGTTAGGGGCTCCGGGGCCCTACCACTAACCGGGTCCCCTTGCCTGGGGTCCTGGCCACGCCCGATCCTTAGAGGCGTGCGTCCGACCTGAGCCCAGACATGATCGCGCCCTTGAAAAACTCAGGACGGACGGCTTTTGGCCGATTTCGGCCTCCGGGGGCCCTCGCGCCTCGGGACCGTCCAGAAACGACTCGGGATGAAAAACTGGTCCAGGGGAATGGGTCGAGACCTCCAGGGGTCGGCGTAATGACAAAAATCATGACGTCGGGGGTCTGGGTGATGCAGGGGCGATCATCCCAGGCAGGGTCGCGTCGTTAAAAAACTCAGGACGGGAGGTGTTTGGCCAATTTCGGCCTCGGGGGGCCCTCGCTGGGCGGCGTCGGGGCCGTCCAAGAAGGACTCAGGACGAGAAACCAGTCCCGGGGAGAGGGTCGGGACTTCTGGGCACCTCGTATTGAAGAATTCAGGGCGTCGCATGTCTGAGAGCATAGGGGCGAGGTCGGGAACCCTGAGCCCGAAAACGTGTTCGGCTCTTGGGAGGCGCCTTCCTCCCGCCGGCCTTCCGCCAGCTTCCGCCGGCGGAGGCCGCCAAGTTTTACTTCCGCCGAGCTTCCGCCGCCCTTCCGCCGCCTTCCGCGGCGGAAGAGATGACAACTCCTTCGATCCTCGAAGGCAAGGCCATTTTTTTGAACCCCTCATCTAGTAGAACCATCTTGTGGTATATCGTGTCCCGAGCGGTATGGCCTGAAAACGTCCGCCTCAGAGCTTCTGCTACAAGATTTCTCGCCGCGCGCGTCGCCCCTGGGGGGGCCAACGCAAACATTGTATATTAGTATGCCCCCACAGTGCGGGCCACAACATCCCAATCGATCGATCGAGCGGCCAGCGCACATCCGTCTGTGCCGCTTTTCTTCCTCGAGCACCTCTCTTGGCCTCGAAGGAGCCCCGACGCTCCAGCGACACGATCCTGTCGCTCCCATGGGCCAACGCCTCGGGAGGGATAACAAGTTACCGATACCGCTCCAATCCGAACCCTTCCCGGGGAGCGTTCTGACCAGAACTTTGAGGCGAATCCAGCCGTGGCGACGAGGGCCTCTCAGGAGGGCCTAACAAGGGAAAACGAGGGCAGGGCCGCAGTAGTTATCTGTACCCCGTTTGATGGGCCTCTCTTCCACCACCACCACCATAAGTTGGAGGGGGGAAGTAGGTGGAGGACGAGGAGGAGGACGAAGAGGAGGAGGAGGAGGAGGAGGAGGAGGAGAAGGAGGAGGAGGAGGGGGAGGAGCAGGGGGGGGAGGAGCAGGAGGAGGAGGAGCAGGAGGAGGAGGAGGAGGAGGAGGAGGAGAAGGAGGAGGAGGAGGAGGAGGAGGACCCCCTCCCTCTCTACCTTATGGTGGTGGTGGAAAACGTACCCATTATCGTTTCCTCCCCTGAGCCTCGGGGCTCTGGCCCCGGGAGGTCGGCGCGCTCCTCAGGCTCAAGCAGCTCTCCGTCGTCCCCCTCTTGGACTCCCGCCGCTCAGGCGACTGATCGGTGCTGTCGCTACGCCTGTCGCTGCGACGGCCCGGTGCCAAGCTCAGGGGGGCCAGCGCGACCATACTCCGCCTCAACCGGAGCTTCACTCCTCCGGTCGGGAGCGGCGAAAGTATCCATATCCGCTCGGCGACTCCGAAGGGTGTGGTTTGCAAAGGGTGTGGTTTGCAATCGGCACCCTGGAAGCACCATGAGGGGCGGGCGGGTACCTCGATAGAGTTCTCGCCCGCGCCCCGAGGAGGCTCGATGAGGACAGTGTCGTGCCCTCCAGACCCCCACGGCGCCGATCGCAAACCACACCCTGGCGTAACCACACCCTTTGTAGTCGCCGATCCGCGCCCTCGCGGTCTGAACTCCGGGGAGCGGTCCCGCGGATGCGCGGCCGTAGGGATGCGTTCCGCGCGGGGCATCCGCGAAACAAAAACGCCCGGTATCCGCGGGGTCGCGGCCAAGGGACCTGGGCCGCGACCCCGCGTATACGGATCTGTTTTTCGCCCACGATCAGGATCGAAATAGAGACAACCACAACCGATGGGCTGAGAACACCGCTTCTGGTAGCCCCCGAAGGCCGCCCCCGATCCCCCAGCGATGACGACCTGCGCGCGGCGCCCGATTTCGAGTGCCAGCGCGCAGTTCACCATCGCTGGGTGGTTGAGGGCTGCCTTGGGGAGGCGCCAGTGGCGGTTGGCGGTTCCATCAGCACAGATGTTGTGGTTGTCTTTTCTTTGCCGATGAACTTCGGAGCAGGGTGAGTTGAGACAACGGCAGCTCAAAGCAGAGGTCCCCAGACGCCTCCCCGGTCCAAACGCACAAGTCTTCCGAGCTGCGTCCAGCTGTGGCGACGAGGGCCCCCCCTGGAGGCCGACCGCCGTTGTCGCAACTCGCTCCCCCTCGGGTTGCCTCCCCAGGCCCCCGACGTCATGATTTGTTCATGCTGTGACTTCTGGCGGTCTGGACCCATCTCCCAGGACTGGTTTTGCGTCTCGAGTCGTGTTGTTGACGGCCCCGAGGGCCTGTCTGGACCCCAGAGGCCGCAAATAGCGAAAAACCTCCCGGCACGATTGTCTAATGGCTCGAGGAGGTCTGGGCTCTTTGCCCGCGAACTCCTGCCACCCTGTTGATGTCGAGCTGCTTGCCTGGCAGCCCGATCGAAGGCACCTCTTGGGAGCGAGTTCATGGGGGGAGATACATGAAGGGGGAAATGTGCCCTTTTCGGGCCCCCTTCACTACAGGAGCCCTTTAGGGGTCCTAGCGGGCCCCTTTTCTGCAGCCCTCGTTTCCCCCCAATTATCACCCCCTTATCCCAGACATGCGAAGCCCTGATTTTGTTCAATACTGGTTCCTTGGAAGTCCTGACCCTTTCGCCGGGACCGGCTTCTCATCCTGAGTCCTTTTTGGACGATCCCGAGGCCCGGCGAGGGCCCCCCGAGGCCAAAAATTAACCGAACACCTCCCATGATTTTTTAACGGCTCCACCCTGCCTGGGATGATCGCCACTGCATTACCCAGACCCCCGACGTCATGATTTTTGTCATTACGTCGACCCCTGGAGGTCTCGACCCATTCCCCTGGACCGGTTTTTCATCCTGAGTCGTTTCTTGACGGTCCCGAGGCCCGGCGAGGGCCCCCCGAGGCCGAAAATTGCCAAAAACTCCTGTCCTGATTTTTTGACGACTCGACCCTGCCTGGGATGATCGCCCCCGCATTTACTCGCACCCCGGCCTCGAGGCGCGGGGAGGCCGGGCTGCCCACGGGCCAGGGTCCCGCGGGCGCCGGCGCGCGGGCCGACGCCGAGAACTCGGCGCCTGGCGGGTGGCCCGCGTCCGCCGCGCTGCGGAGGGGCGTCGTGTCCGTCACCGACACCTTGCAGCGGAACGCAAAGGAGGCATGCTGTCCCAGGCAGGATCGCGTCGTAAAGCCTGATATTGCCACGAACCCTGACCTTGGAGGACAAGTGGGCGTGACTTGCGAGGAAGAGAAAAACAAAGAAGAGGATGCCTACAGAGCGCGCAATGCTGATTCCTGTGTTGCCTGTTTGACGCTGTGCCGCATTCAGGCGCATTATGCTGGTTCCCGTGCTGTCCGTTTGATGCTCTACTACTTTGTCGGGGCGTTTCCGACCATCTTGGAGCCGTGTTGGGCAGTCCTCGGGCCCTAAGGCGTCTCCGACCATCTCGGGGCCCTCTTGGGCAGTCATGGGGCCCTCTTGGGGGCCTCTGGGGGCTTCCTGGAAGCTTCTTGGAGGCTTCTTGGGGCCTCTTGGGGGCCTCTTGGGACCTCCTGGGGATTCTTTGGGCGGAGAACCCGAAATGTCGGTCCCTGCCCCCCCTCTGTGGCCGCTCCTGGGGCGTTCCTGGGGCCGTCTTAGGCCGTCTTGGGGGCGTCTCAGGCCGTCTTGGGGGCGTCTTCGGCCGTCTGGGCGCCCTCCTGGGGGCCTATCAACTTTCAGATTCTAAGAGGGCGAGGTCCTTCCTGGACCGCCTTCCATGTGTGAGTGGAGCTGGGAGGTCTCGGGGCGCCTGCGTGCGGCGCCAAGATGAGAGAGCCACCAGCACACGACAGCTGCGCGACCGAAGGAGGCGAACGGGCGGTCCCCGATCTGGCAGGCCGGAGCGGGCGGCCGGATACGCACGGCGGGTTCGTGCCGTGACGACCCTGGTGCTGGTTTCTGACACCGCGTGGATCGTTCAGCCTTGAACGATCGGCGGCTGTTCGATCGCCCGATCGTTCCATGTAGGCCGATTCTGGGCCACTTGCGGCGTGCAACGTTGAACGTCCGCGGCGGGGGCGCCGCCGGTCGACACGACGCGAACCTACCGTATGTGTGCGGGGCGTGATGTCGGTGAGCTGCTCAAGATGTGCAAAAGGGAGCCAGATCTGAGGGACATGCGTCCTCCATCAGTGTTATGGTCCCAGATATCCGACGATGTTTTTCTCAATCTTGGCATGTGTTCTCGATTCGGCCCATGGGGCCTCTGATCGGGACGCTGGACCATGAGAAATGGATCCATAATGACCTTCCCGGGAAGCGGTCGAGACCTTTGGGGCCGCAGATTGAAAAGTGGCATCGTCGGATGTCTGGGGTTGCAGGTTTTGATAGCGGGAGCCACAGGCAAAGTTGATGCTCTTCGAGCCACTGGCTTCGTTGGGGCCGTGAGTGTGAAAGAGTGAGTTGAGCTCAACACGCCACCATGCGAGCCACCGGCAACACCGGCCTATGTGGGCTCTCTCGGGCCATCTTGGAGCGTTCTGAAGCCAGAAAGCCGAAAACGGAGAAGAACTGAAAAGAACTAAAGGAAATTCGCCGGTCCAACGGGCCAAAGGCGTGCTAAGATCTCCGGTGACTGCTGTACAGTATTTCTACTTCGCGCGCGCGGGGCGGCCCTTGGGGGTCCCCGGACGAAAAGCACCCCGACCGATCCCTTGCCAGAGATTGCTTTTCTCCTGGCCGCTGCCCTCGACGACCTCCGGAGAGCCCCAAGACGAGCCAAGAAGTCCCCAAGACGCCCCCTAAATAGGACTTGAGGGCACCGAGATGCCACAATCGGCGTTGGACAAACCTCCCTTTAGTAAACCTCCCATTAGTGAAAACGGCCTGGGACCGAAAACGACGGACCTGGACCCGCGAAAATGACGGCCGCGACGCCCTCTCGCGAACCGAAAACGGCCGATTCGCTAATCGACGTGTCAGGGTAGGAGGTCTGTCCACCCCCGACACAATATCGCTTGAAGACGCCCACCATGGCCTCCAGACGCTCCAAAAGGCCTCCAAAAGCACTCCAAGGAAGGGCCCAAAGGCGCCCAAGACGGCCCAAGAGAGCCCCAGAACGGCTCCAAGAGGGGCCCAAGAAGGTGACCAGGAACCGAAAAGTCCAACCTTCAGCCCCAAGAGGTCCCCAGGAGGCCCTCAAGAGGCCCCAAAGGCCCCCAAGAAGCTTCCCAAGAAACCCCAAGAGGCCCCAAGAGGCCCTGACACGGCCCCCAAGAGGCCTCAAAATTGCCTCCCAAAGGCCCCTGAGAGGCCAACCACGAGAGCCCAACCAACATTATGCTGTTCTCCGCCCCCTACAGCCGTGGAGGCAAGAACATGATGAGAAAGTTGTTTTCAGGTTAGTTTGAAGTTGTTTTTATGAAAACAAAATAAGTTAGGTTTTGGGTCACAATCAAGGTTGTTCAAAAAAAACGACATGCCGCTGGCATCGCTTTGAAAAACGATGCGTTGCGTCTGTTGAATATGCGCCAGTAGGCCTACGGACCACGACCTCAGACACGCTAAGGAACCAAACAAGCATCGGGGGAGAAAAGGGCGTGCTTATCCTTCCGACGGATTCTATCACGGCCCCACGCGGGCGGGGCAACTCCCAGGAAGAACATGACGATTACAAAGGACAGCTTGGGCGAAATGAAGCCGAGAATGGCGGACGAATGCAACGCAGCGAAACTGCAAATGGCCAGTCTGACGGATCGCAAACATGCAAACGCAACGCAGCAAAATAGTGAATGACCAGTCAGACGGATCGCAAAACGTTCGAATGCAACGCAGCACAATTGTGAATGGCCAACCCGACGGATTGGGCACGAAGTCAACCCCGACGGCCCCGAAAGAAACAGTTGGGACACCCAGCGGGCCCAGACAGGCCCTTGGAAATCCAGCGGGCCCGAGCATGCAACTGGCAAACCCATCGGGCCCGAACAAGCATCTGGACAACTCTATCGGCCCGAGCAAACAGCTGGAAAACCTCACGGGCCCGAACGAGCGGTCTGGTTGGTCTGGCTGGTCTGGCTGGTCTGGTTGGTCTGGTTGGTCTGGTTGGTCTGGATGGTCTTGTTGGTCTGAGTGGTATGGTTGTTCTGGTTGGTCTGGTTGGTCTGGCTGGTCTGGTTGGTGCGGTTGGTCTGGTTGGTCTGGATGTTGGGCCTCTGCTCTGTTCTACTCAATACTTGTCGACTCTACTCTATCCGATCCTACCAGCGCCAAGTAAGTTTAGATCTAAGCTGGAACCCGAAGGAGTGGCCCAGAGCGGCCCCCAGGGAGGCGCCTTGCGGGGCTGGAGTCCCACGGAGGGGGGCCCAGGGAGCCAACGAGGAGCCCATAAACAAATCCAAAAGGGGGGGCAAAGGGACACGGAACGAATTAAGACTCGACCATATCTTACACGCGTTGATTCAACGGGGCTCCAAGTTGGAACCCGAAGGAGTGGCCCAAAGCGGCCCCAACGGAGGCGCCTTGCGGGGCTGGAGTCCCAAGGAGGGGGCCCAGGGAGCCAATGAGGAGCCCGAAACGAGGCCCAAGAAGGGGGGCAACACGAAAGGATACAAATTGGGGCTCCAGGGTGCTTCAACGCGAAGCGTCGATGCTGAAATACATTGCGATTGTTCGTGCATGTTGTTTTCAGCGTATAACATGGGGGGCTCAACGCGCATGCAATGACCATCAATGCATATAGGGCTTAACGAACATGCCATATAGCCTCGACGCGCGTGCAATATTGAATCACCCACGCAGGTAGGACTCAACGCGCATCAATGCATTCCGAACCCACTGGACGGATGAGAATGAGGGCGTTGCCCATTCTAGTTGTCGAGGCGACTCGCGCCACTGGGCATCTCTGCCGCACAGGCTGGTCCAGACACGTGGGCGCCTATGTTCGAGAACGTGCTCCTTATCAGGTTCACCATCCTTATAGTACGAGTTGGGAGGATCGGTCGACCCCGGTTGCCCACCCCCATCCCCCGTCCCGCTCCCTCCTGAAATTTCGGCTCATCCCGTTCCTCTACCCCCCTGGAGGGCGCCGCCCGAACTGAACAAAATCGCAAGAGCTCGATTATCTCGCGGGCTAGCCGAAGAGGCCCCTCAGCCTCCAAACAAAACGGTGGCAGCCGTCCTGCACTCAGCACTCAGTCCAAGTTGGCAGTATCATCCATGTACTGGCGTAAAACTGGAACCATCGTGATGGGTGGGTCCAGCTTATTTCTCTCTTTGTTCAGCTTGACCACGAACTTGTGCATGCCCAGTTGATTGCCGTTGAACTTACCGTAGCCCATCATCAGCTTCGCCTCGATGACTGCCATGCTTCCAGAGACGATGCACTTCATGAAATCGCTGTCATCTTTCAGGAACTCCACCTCTTTTTGATCACGGCCGAACGTGTCGATGACGATGACGAGATCGGCCCGCAGCGACTTGAGCTCCGAGACCTTATTCTCCAACTCATCGCCGTTCAGCTGGAGCAGCGTCTTCTTGGCCAGCTTGTGAGCGCCGACAATCCCATCACCGTCTACCTTCTTCTTGCCGATCTGGTCGGTCCAGCGCTTGCTGATGCCTGCGGCGTCGATGGCAATGTCCTTGTACTCCTCGATCTTGTGGTTGATCTTCGTGCCCGTGGCCAGCAGCGCGTTCTCGTAGATCTCCTTGAGGTCCGTGCTGCAGGCGCCACGCTCGGCGCCCATGACGCTGCCAGGTGGCGGGAAGTTATCCCCCACTGCAGAGATCGCCTGCTCGAAATCCTCGAACGCCGCTAGCAAGCTCTTCGCATGCAGGAGCGCGGAGTCGGCGTGGGCTCTGTCGAGCGGCGTCGTTCCGAGCCTTGCGTAGGCTTGACGACTAATTTTCAGGGCGATTGCTTTCTTCATCGCATGAAAGCGGGCCCTGAGCTTAGCGTCCACCAGCTGAAACTTGCCGAGCTCCACTCCGATCTCCAGGAGACTGTCGAGCTGGGGGTGCTCCCAGCCAGCCTCGGTCTCAACGAAGTCGCAGAGGGTTGCAACTGCGGGAGCAGCGGCATTCGCCATGGTCGCATCGTGCTTTGGCGCCCTCACCGCGTGGTCGTAAATCTTCTGCACGTCCGTCTCCTGCAATTCTA